TTATTTTGCTCATTGAAGAGTATTGAGAGGGCTCAATCAATACTCACACAACACGACTGTATTTTGAGTCGGGAGGTCGAGTTGCCAGAGCCGAATTCAGAGTCAGACGGCCAAAATATATCCAAAGGCGCCTTATTCAGAAGTATAATGTTGTCTCGAAAGACAGAGGGCTTACGGAGGTGCCTGTCTTCAACACTTGACCAAAATGAGGAGAAACGAGAAGGGAAGTTGGCACCTCCATCAAACGCCTTGTTGCATCACTGCCCAGAACAAAGGAGGAGCAACGACGGGTTACCACGATAGAATGCATCCTTTTGGAGAGCGAAGTTATTGGAAAGAGGTCTCTGCCAGACAACTATGGACATATATCTGGTATCTCAAAAGCCCGAAAGCTCGTGCAAGAGCCAAAACTCTGTTCTAAGTACGGCGACTCTGTTTGCAGAACAAACTCTAACTTCTGCAAATACCACTTTACAACATATGGTTAAGCTTCGAAGGCCATTGAAGTGGCAAAATGAAGACGAAAAGGGGCTCTGCCTTTGCTGAGATATCTGCAGGAGGTCCATTCCGTATGTATCTGGATACACACTGGATTTGTCAAGCCGCCATATTTCGAACTCGGAAAAATGCGTGTCTGCTCTCTTGTAGAAACACCACATACTCTTGCTGGGGAGAGGTTTTTCTTCTTCAGCACAAATTTGGAGAGCTGCGAATGACATTTTCCAACACCTGACAAGGTTTCGAATGGTATTGAAGTGGCAACCAGAAGACGAGATACGGCGTTCTGCCCATCTAGATCTTTCTATCTGGAAGAAAGTACCAGCTGCCTGAAGAGCCTAGAGCTTCTGCAAAAGACATCTTTAAACCACCAGTGTCCCCTTGAAAGGATACTTGTCGTGTTTGTTGAGCATATACATGGTATCTCTTGGATCCAACTTAGAGATACAGGTCTGATCTAGACCACTAAAAATATATACGAGGATCGGATTGCAGTGAACGCCAGAAACGAGGCAGCTATCCTTCCAGAAAAATCTTGCTGAAGACATTTTGGACGACTTCTGTCACTTATTACAGAACACAGCGACTTGCGGCAACACCATCCGCGCCTTCTCACTGGCGGCTTTACTTACGACCTCGTCTCCTATCCACCTCTGGGTAGTATTGCCTGGATGACCTGCAAATCAGGGAGGCTTTAAGAGACAGCTGTAGTATCATCTGTCTGACCATTGACCATTGACCTACTCTGCAAATACTATGTCTTGCAGAGAGTGCAGGAAGTCATGTAAGGGAACTGTGAACTCGCCCACTCTGTCGCACTGATTCGCTCTAATACGCTCAAGGATCTGGCTCTGCGGTCGCTTTGAGCGAGTGTTATCAAGATTCATACTTGCAAAGGCAATTTGGTGTTAGTGCTTTGTCCTCTGCTGGCTTAGGTTGAGTCGAATTGCTCAGATACTGGTGCATGGGCAGTCCAGAAGAAATGCTACTACCATCTCTCAGTCGGTCCGAAATTGGAGCCTACATACGAACTGGGTGAACTTGTCCATCAAAAAGGGAATGGACACCACACAGGGGCAGTAACAGTCATCGATTCGACGTTTCTCAAATACAAAGGCCAAGTTATTAAACGCCCTTTATCAGCCGCTGGATCGAGCTGCAACGAATTGCTCGAAAAATGGCGCATGGATGCCATCTACGAGCTACAAGAACCATGTCCAGATTGTTTCAAAAGTCGGTGCCTGTACACTGACTGGGACGCTTGTTCATCTAGGGGGAGATGGAGACCACAGAGGGGCAGTTACTGTCTTTCCTGGGTCGTTGCTGCCTTACAACAGCCTCGTTTCTAAGCCGTCCTCGTCATTTAATTCATACCATCTGGAAGACTGCCTGTTCGAGTGCATCCTGAAAGGGCTTATATACTGAATGCGTCAAATTGCGTCGGAGCCGATCATAGGCATCACTAAGGGGCAGTTACTTTCTTCCCTGGATCGTTCCTATCTTACAATAGTCTCATTTTGCTACTTTTCCCGGCACTCTTGGCTCCATTGAGACTTGATGCTAGCTAAAAACCCGTCTTCTTGAGCGCATCTCGACGACAATTCATTCGAAATACGTAAAAAGACTTACATCCTGCCTTGTGGACACTGAAGAAACGCGGTACCGTCCTTCCTTTCGTTGCTGCTGTCATGCAACGGCTTGATCTGGTAAAAGTCTGGCAGACTTTCGCTTCTTTAAATATCACAGCAGCTATTCAATCGGCATGTAACGAGACTGATGTGCTCTTCTCTTGGACCTAATGTCACCTTGAAGCAAGGTACATGACGCTGCTGCTCTCAGCGCGATGTCTTCCAATGAGACAACATGTAGACGTGCAAACTCAGCCAGGATACTACGAAGCAATTCAGTCAGCATGTAATGAAGCCGGCGTACTGCTCCACTCCTTGTGCAATAGCCGATAAGCCATGCTGGGTGGTAAAAAATAGAGAATGTGGGGGGGTTGGAAGCATAATGCCAAAAGGGATCTTCAACATCGCGGCTCGTGAGGCGTATTCCTCCACATACTTCATCTCAACGCATTTCATCGCAGACAAAGGAATGGGAAGCGCGTTCCACCTAACGCTATTCAGATCGGTATCTGCGCTTCGACAAAATGTCGAATGAACGCCAACACCGCATTGATAGTAGCGTGAAATGATCGCTCTTGATACACGCAGACACTATCGGTGCGGTCTCTCGCGATGTGGTAACGAAGTATTCCGCAGATTAATCCAGCATACAGCATAACAATCCAGTCGGAGTGTAATGAGACAACCGATTACGCTTGCAAGGAAGATCGATGAAGTCACGATCAGTGATCAGAAGCATTCTATTCCTAGGAAATCCTTTCTATGTATGGGTAGGGCGCCATAATTATGCGATCACAACTTCTCAGCCTTCGAACATGGAGCCATGTGCTCGCCGGTGCACTCACCACGGTAGAGTCATAATGTTTCGACTACTTACTAAACAAGATAACCTCCTACGGTTATAAATATATACTTACAATAGGGTCACGCCCTGACACCGAGAAGCGCCTCCCATACAAGAAGATACAGGATCTTTGGAGTCACTCGGCATCGTTTCTGCTCGCTGAAAAGAAGATCTCTAAGTGTTTGGTAAGCGCTTCGGCGCGAAACTTCGCAGCTTGTATGAAAGCAATCACAAAGCAACGAAACCTGTGTATTTCCCCGCCTGCGGATCTTCACTCCTGACACAAAAGCGAAGAAGACCAGCTAGACTTACCATTAACTGCAATACTACACCACCGGTTCGGTCGCTATTTCTCCATTCTACCTTCGCGACGTCTCTCTGTACTTTCTTTGCAATACATCTCTGCACTTTTGGTCAGCATAAGTGACAAAAATGCCTTATCAAGTCGTCAATATCTACTTCAATGGATCATATTATATCAGTCCTCGTAGAGAGCTTCCACAATCACCAGTCGATCCGTTCATCAATTTTAGGCGTTCTTCAGGCTCTAGCTCTGGATGGCTTACACAACCAAGTAGCTCTGGAGGGCTGTTTGGATCCAATCCTAGCTCTGGAGGGGGAGGGCTGTTGGGATGTCGAGAAAAGCGGCACATATCCAGCCAACTTGCGAAACGTATTGTTAGCAAAAGGCGAACAATGATAATTACAATGCAGTCAGCATGTAATGAAGCCGGTCTTCATATGAAGCCTACCTCGTTTCACAAGGAAACGTGGACTATCCTCCATTATTTTTCAATGCGGTATCTCGACATCTAGCAGCACTGCCCTGCACAAGGTGTCTATGATGTCAAAACATAGCGTCTTTGGTATCATCAACTGCAGCATTTACCGCAGCGTCAATGGCAGCGCGATTCATGCACCTCCAACACAGAATACGCGTGCTATCGAATAGTCTTGCAGCATTGTACGAATATGTCGATGCCAATGTCTCAGCTTCCTAAGACAGAAGAAATTTGCGAGCAACTCCGCTTGAATGGATAGAGGGAGTATGCAAAAACACTTTCGGTCGCGGTCTGAGCACGAAGGTATACAAAGGTGCCCTAATGAGGCTTTAACCGGGAATGGATCGATGTCAACAGCTTGTGGTACTGAACGACGTAGCCCCTAGTCTCATTCAATCAGTACACAATGAACCTATCTACGGTCTGCGTGCAACGAGACTGGAATTATTCTACCGTTGGTCTCGTCTGGATCGAGGAACAAATGGGGTTATTGCCTCATGCGATACGAAAGCACTTATCTATGCTGCTCTGCGAAGGGGATTACGCTCAGGCTAGGCCAATAGAGTACAGTATCGATCACAGCCCTCTCTCATACACTGGCTGGTATCAAACGTGCGGGTTCTGGCAGCAATGAATGGGTTTTCGATTCATCGACGTTAATGTGTCGACACATCTAGGAGAGATGGTGTCCGCGAGGCGAGAGGTGGGCTTGAATGGTTTGATGGAGGGAGGGAGTATGCAAGGACTTGTCTTGTGGTATCTGTGTATAGAGGTATAAAGGCATGGAGCTATCTGAACTGGAGCAGTATCCAGTGTCAAGCAGGCATAGGAAGGCAGGGGGAATTCAGAAAGACGTTATCTCATTGTGTACAAAGTCATGTAGGCGACAGTCAAAGTGATGTGTCGTGCGAATTCATGCTCAAGTGTCACAAAACGCACCATTGGATGAGAGCGTCCATTCTGCATGCGAGGAGCCGCAGCAGCATTTTTCACAGCCCAGCAGGCAACGCGGACCTCTTACCCCTACCTTATGATGCAGACACCCGATTGTACGACATGACTCATCATATATCACATATTTTGTCGAAATCATTTTCCCCATTCTCCTTCCCTTTCCCTTCCCTCTTATCCCAAACTCTACCTCACCATTTCAAGTACACCCAATCATCAAGCACCACCACCACCACCACACATCCCCCCTCCATCCATCCCCGCCCCGCCCATCCTTCCATCCTTCCATCCTCAAAAATGTATCTCACCGCCCCCCGCGACCCAGACTGGACCTCCCGCATCACCGACCTCGAGATCCTAACAACGCACACCTTCTCGAACCGCCAACTCGCCAAAGAAGCGCTCACGGCGCCCGGCCGCCCCTTACGTTCTGGCGGTACTGACGGAAATAAGCGTCTTGCCATCTATGGCGATGCTATCCTCAAGGTTGCTTTGGTGGATACGTGGTATCCGACGCCGCTGGGTCGAGGTGCGTTTTCCTCCTTTCCCGTCCTTCATTTTTTAGGTTGGGTTGCTGGTTTTCAGTAGACTTAGTGAGGGCAGGTGCTGATTCTCCGGTTGGTGCTGGTTAGGGAGTTTCTCTCGGACGCTTAACGATGTGGCGGGCAATAATAATCTTGACCGGGCGGGTCGCGCGTCTGGGCTGGTGGAGCTTGTGTGGAAGAGTCCTGGCGAGATAGGGGTGCCTTTTAAGGTTATGGGGGATACGGTTGAAGCTGTGCTTGGGGCCGTGTGGTTGGATTCTGGGATGAATTTGGATGCTGTGAAGGGTGTGATGGGGAGGTTGGGAATAGGGATTGCTGCTACTGCTGCTGCCAATGGTAATGGTGGTCGTGGGGACGCAATGGCTAATGTTATTGGATTTGAGTAGGACAAGCAGGCCATAGAGGTCAATGAGATGGATGCTTGCCTGAGAAAGGTTTTTGTACAACTTTCGAGTCCTCGTGATGTGGGAAGTAGGTGTGACGAGGCATGTATCTTATCGAGATGAAGGAGGTACAAGATCCTGTACGACAACTCTTTGTCTTCATTCCAGTACAAAAGCTGGAGATATTCTTCTTCATCTTCTGCTCTCCTCAACTTTGATTCCACCTCATCACCACCCAACCTCGACCATCTTCAAAGCTCGTGAGGCTAGAACGATCAGCACAACATCATACATGTTCGACTTAATCGGGGCGGTAATCCCGGCGCTCTCCAAGAAGAGTGCTGCAGCATTCAATGCGCGTCAAGACATGAAAGTCGAATTCACTCAACAATGGAATAAGGAGGCAGCAGCGAGAAGGGCCCTACGCGAGGCAGGCATTAATCCGGATGACCATCGCGATCCTTACTGGAATAATGTAAGCCTGATGATGCTGCGATATTCATGTGCTCATTGTGTATTTTAGATTGCTAGAGCGCGTCGAATCGCTCGAACCGGTGGTCGTGATCCTGGACCCCAGGAACAGATTGACAGGTCCCTGAGGACACCGAAGAATGTCGCTGGAGGCTACATGTTTGAAGTGAATCGATTGATAAACAACGGCTTGCCGGTACCAAAATCTCGAGCTCTGAACGGGGCGTCAGGATTGCGTGACCATCGTCAGGAAGAACCTCGTTGGAATAGACCACCACGGGGACAGATGGAGGATTTTCGCGGTGGAGGTCGTGCAAGTTTGAATAGAGGTCCTTTTCAACAAAATTTCCCTAACAGACGAGAAATGGAAGGTCCGCAGGATCGGCGCAGCACCCACCCTCAAGAACAGCGTGAAGGGCCACGACATTCAGCGAGAAATGAGGCTACTCAATATACTCCGGATGGCAGTGCAAGGCCCCGAAATGCTTCTACTCACCCAGACCATGCCCACCAAAATGGTGGCGCTTCCAGACAGAGGAGCAGTCTAGGATCTGGAAGTAATGCTAGGAATGGTAACAATGCTGGACGTGGCAACAATGCTGGACATGAGAGCGATCCTAGAAATCATGGCAACCCAGGACCGGGTAATCATTCCCAGCACCGTAACGACCCCACACGACATGCCTCCGAGTCTTCGCATCGCTCTCAGCGTTCCGCAAACCATGGCAACGATAACAACAACAATGAACGAGATGCCTCTCGATCCTCGAACCGATCCCGCATCTCTGCTCAACCCGTCAACAACAACGAACGCGATAGATCACAGGCTGCAAACGGCTCCCGACACTCTCAACCCCGCGATACAAGTAAGGCCAGTGGACGTTCCACTAGTGCAAGCTCGTCCGCCAGCGCCGCAGAGATAAATCTCAAGCGTGAGGAGAAACCCACCCAAAGGTTCAGCGGTGATGTAGTCAGGGAACGTCCTTCCAGGCAGAGGAACGAGGCTGATCAATATCATGGAGGGGCACAGCGTCATCCGAAGTTGGATCCTATTGCAGAGTGAGAGGGCGTCCGTTCGTAGGCTTTGTTGATGATGTGGTTGCTGACCGTACTGCAGGGAGGGTGGCAGGAGTAGATTTCGCAAAGATTTGCGGGAGCACTGATGATGAGTCTTCACATGATGAATCTTGCGTCAATGATTTGGGACTGAGGATCGGGTATTGACGCGGGTTGGTAAGGAGTTGTGACCGGGGACTGAATCTGCGATCGGCACAGTTGCGTGCAAAGCCTGCGTGTGAACTTGTGGAGCATGCAATCATGTTGCTTGAGTATGCTCTTGATCCTGTGAAGGGTCATAGCCGTGCGTTTTGTAGCACTTTGAGTCTGTAGCTAAGTGAGAGCCATGATAATGGTGTCTTTCCATGGCACGGGAATGGGACTCAAGAAGGTTCAGCTGGGCCATCTTTAGGCTTCTTATGTCCATGCAAAATGGCAGACGCCCATTGCATGGCTTGAGCGATCTTTGCCTTCAAATAATCGAAGAATTTGTTCTTGTGTCTTTGCGACTCCTCATTGCCGCTTTCTTGTGTTTCGCCCACGGTTATCGGCTTGCCGTCACTTCCAATCTCCACAATTTCTACCGTTGGACTAGAAGGCAAATCTTGGATCTCATCGCTGGCTTCTTCTTGATTTTCATCTGAATGCAATCCACTAGGCTTCAGCGGCAGCCGAAGTGTCCCGTTGTTGGCTTTTGGCTCAATCCCCAAGGAGTCGCAGAGTATGTTGTACACCTCGGTATTCTGAAAGGGGGAAACTCTGCTATTCGGCTTATGTGGAAAAGCAGGACCTCTAGCTACGAAGATCGCTCGCATGAGTGGGTTATGGTGATCATATCCATGCAGACCTTTTGGCGCATAGGTCTGTCCGGAGGCTTTAGCTTCTTTGACGTCGAAGTCTTCCTTGTGGACTATTGCCCACCCTGTCTTGGGAATGACCCAGAGTGGCGCTATTCGTGGGTTCTGGGAGAAGTGGAACTGCGTCGGCATATCCTTATCTCGGAGATAGACGTCGAAGTTAGGGCTCTGATCTGCTTCAGCTTTGAGCTGGTCGTAAAGTTCTTGTACAGGCTCGTCACTCCAGGGGCGTAGACCGTAAAGTGGCCAGCCGTCAATATGCTCGATCTTGCCGACATCTATTATGTCGTCGAGCTGTACCAAGCGATCGACAGATGTTGTTGCCATACCATGATCACTGACAACAATCACGTTCACAATCGACGTCAAATTGCGCTCATCAAGGCCTGTGAAGATATTGTGGAGCATCTTGTCTACAGCTGAAATTGTATCATAGATCTCGGTGCTATTTGGTCCATAGCGATGGCCATCCCCGTCAACATTGGGAACGTAAGCAGCAATAAGCTGCGGACGTACTCTTGTAGCTGAATCTTCAATGCTAGGAAGATCGAGCAACTCGAGGATACGATCAGTCTTTTTTGATAAAAGTTCACTACCGTTGAACTTGTCGAGGTAGCTCGCAGAGTATTCCATGCCGGCTTCTGAGCCTGGCCACATATGTACGCCCGTCTTGACATTTTGTTTCTCTGCTGTCACCCAAATTGGTTCTCCGCCTTTCCACCACTTGGGCTGCATACTTCTCGATGGATCGGTGTAGTGGAACTCAGCTTCGAACTCTGGATCCCAGAACGTATTACCAACGATGCCATGGCTCTCAGGATGAAGTCCAGTCACAAGTGTGAAGTGGTTGGGAAACGTTACACTGGGGAATGACGGATACATGTACTTTGGCGAGATACCCTCTGCGATGAATTGATTCAGGGTAGGGGTGATGCCTCTCGTAAGGAAGTCTGCCCGGAATCCATCAAGGGATATGAGGATGGTGGTGGGAGCAAAGAGTGACGTGCCATTGGAGAGCAAGATTTGCGGGACCTTTATCGATTCTTGAGTAGCGTTGTATGCTCCCAAGGTCAAGATAATGAAGAGGAGGGAGAGGACTATTATTACTGCTGAGCCAATGGCATACTTTCTCCACTACATGTTTCACCGTTAGCGATGAACACATTTGAGCCATGTTGACATACCTCTGGCTTCTGATTTCGCGAAAGGTTGAGCTTGTCCAATTCGGCAGAGCTGCTCGAAGCCTGGGAGCTGATCTCGCTGTGTGGACCGCCTTCTTCCATTTCATACATGAGTTCTCCATTTTCGTCCAGATCACCGTGTTCTTCTCGCCGCGTCTTCCTGTAGCCGTCTCTCTTGCTTGCCCTCCCCAATTTACCATTCAATCGTATATCTCGAATCTTACTAGAGAGAAATTTTGGGGTGGATGAGGTCTCTGTCCGGGCTGTCAACAGCTCTTCTCTTTCTTCCTCTTCTTCCAAGATTCCACAATCATGCACCGCTACTTCAGTGGAATTGCGAGCATGGCGAGCGATGGGATCGTCCTCGGACTCGGCATCTGAAGTGAGCGGAGAGACATCCTCATGAGGCTCAGGGCTTGATCGTTCAACATTTGCAGCCATTACGAGACTCCACTCCAGAGGCTACTATTTGTTTCGAAGGGGGCAATTCTTCAAGGTGTATGCAAAGGCATGAATTTGGAGCAAAGTGTGGTGCAGCTGTCAGATCTGCCGTCAACGGGCTCCTAGGGCGCGGCGCGCGGCGACGTGCCGCAAAAAGCAGCAGTCTCCGCCGCACCCCGGAGTTTGGCATTTTCGATCTATCTCCGGGGCCTTACTCCTCTATACACCCCATAGCCGCCCTATAATCAATGGACATCGAGAGCTGTACGATCATTAAGGCTTGAGGTTGACTGTTCAAGGATCCTGAATCGTACCCAAGGGTTCAACTATGAAGGCGATTATACAAATCTGAGCAAATGCTGTCCGCCCTCGACCCTGCAATCATGGCCTCATTTCCTCCGTCCGTAGATATCCACAATTGGCTATCTCCATTGACAAATATAATACTATCACCTACCTCCTTTTGTCAATGCTATCTCGTAGCACTTGTATTACACCCGCCGGGTCTTTTGCTCCGAAGACAGCTGAACCGGCCACGATCACGTTGGCTCCAGCTTCAGCAGCTTGGTCGATCGTGCCTTCTCCAAGTCCACCATCAACCTCAATGTAGAGTTCGGGATATCTTTCTCGAAGCGCCTTGACCTTTGGTAGCTCCGACGCCATGAATTTCTGACCGCCAAATCCAGGGTAGACTGTCATAATGAGCACCATCTAGATTTGATCAGCACTATTCCGGAACGCCTGAGCACAGTCCACTTACGTCCGGCACTTCCTCTTTGGTCTGACTTCCCAAGATTTCCCAGAGCACGTCCACCGACGTATCCGGCTTGATTGCGATTCCGGCCAGCATGCCTTGCTCGTGTATGAACCTTACCATCTCTTTTGGACTAGTCTTTGCCTCGACCTGGTCTGTTGGACTTTCAGCGGCTGTAGATGTGATGGCGGCTTCATAGTGGAAGCAGTAAAGGTCGCATCCCGCTTTCTGGAATTCCTTAACCCATCTTTTGGGCTGAAGAAGATCGGCGGTTAGCACGTGGCTAAGGCAGAAGTGGAGCGTAATATGCCTGAATCCAGAAATAGGGGCCAAGAGGCGCTTTCACATACCTACCTCAGCAATCATCATATGGCAGTCGAAAGTGCCCTTCCCTTTCGGAGCATTCGGGCGGTCAACATGTGGCCGGATCTTCGTGACTACGGGAGCGCCAAATGTGATGTTCGGGACGAAGTGTCCATCCATCTGCGAAGAACGTTAGCAGCAATATCTTGGCCTAGATTTGTTGGCGTGGCACATCCGATATCGACGTGAATCCAGTCGCTGCGCCATTTCATGCAGTCCGTGCAAGCTCTCCCAAGCTCTGCAAAGTCGGCGGATAAGATTGATGGCGCAATCACTGCTGCAGGAGCCATGATCGCTATCGATATTATTGCTGATCCTGGTGGCACGTTGCAATTGCAAGCGCTTTGCAGGACGAGAGAGGAATACGGCGCTTCCACACCTTCAGTCCTGAACCCTGAGACTAACCCGATCAAGGGAAAGCCTCGGTCCTTCAAGGTAAGAATAGACAGCCAACACCGACCGGCCGGCACAGCTCACTATCATCATACATAGTGAGATAAAGTAGCTCAAGGCCAACCGTCGAGTATCTTGAGGCCTCCAGTCTAGTTGTGGTTGAGCACGAACAATCCCATGCGAAGGTGCGGGCCAAATGTGGGGGTAAATGGTGGCGGGGGATGAGGAGCGTATTTTCAATCACAACAGCGTACTGAATAAAGGGCTTGGCAGAGGGAGCTTGACCTAAAATGGTTAGATCCTGAGACGGGCCATTTCGGCCTCCCAAAATCGATCACTTTTTCGTCCTTTTCTTCTTTCTTTTTCTCCTTCAAGTATGATTTAAAGACCCTTTCACCTTCCAGACATCGAAGGATGCTTGTGCTAAAAATGAGTCTCAAACATTTGACTTGCATGAAATCCATTGGCTTCCAAACCTACCTGGGACTAGAGCGCAACCGTGGGCGCTTAGGAAACACCAATGATCTTCCCCACACCCTCAGCGCTTCCCCATGCAATTTTCTATTTACAGCCCCAAGAAGACTGACATAGCAGCTGCTGTGCCTCTACTTCCACAATGTTCCGACCCCTAGGCGCTCAGCAACTAGACACGTTGGTAGTTGGAAGTTCCTTGCATTAGTGCAACGGCCTGGATCATGGAACCGCTGGGTCCCATGGAAAGTTGCGATGCAGAGCGTTTGAATGTATTAATATCTTGAGGGCCGGTCGCGACCTTTCATTCATCATCTCTTCTGTCTCTGTATTGTTCCTACATACCATTTTTCTGTTAGATTGCATTGCATTGTTTTTGCCTCCATTTCGCATTGCGTGGTTGATCGTTGACCGAGTGACCCGCAGAGAGACCTGTTGACCAGGATTGTCATTTACTGCGACAGCAAGAGAAACACCAAGAGCGCCTGCAGGGCACGCGCATCTCATATCCACTATGGACGGCAATATAATATCTGGAGCGACATTTGAATCACCCTCCCGGCTGGTCCGGAGACCTACACTTAATACAATAATGGAAGATAGACGAGGGGAGAGGAGAGAAGAGCAGAAAAGGCAGGTGGATTACAGTACGGCTAGGTTGGACGACTCAAGATATCTCCGCCCACAGTCTATCCGCTCGACTTCGCCTGTACCGTCCCTGATCTCGGAGACGTCGTCCGTATCTTCATACTACTATGGACGGCGGTCAGGAGACTTCGACGATGTTTCAGATATCGACTCGGAAATCGATCCATCCATCATGACTGACCAGACAAGTCTGCGATCAGTCTCGCCCGACAATTCGCCGCCCATTGGCCACAAGCCAAAATACCCCACCTTGGCCATTCCATCCCCAGGATTTTGGCCCGCCCCACCTCAACCTCCAACGCAGTCGCCACCCAGGCCGCCAAAGATCCCACTATCACCAGCAGCATTGTCCATGTTGGGCGACCAATTACCCAGTCTCGCCGACCAGTTGTCCAGGCTCAACACCACCCCATCGCTTACTGGTAGCCTCAGTACAGACCCCTACCAACCCTCCACTGGGCCCACTACACCTGAGTCACAGACAAACCTACCGAGTGACGAGATATGGGATGAGAGCATGCGAGAAAATACATACAAAGTGCCACCATCAAGCCTTCCACCGGTCAGGCCACCGAAGCCCAAGATTTCAGTCAATACTCAAGGCGTAGGGGGACAAAACGCGAAGTCTGGCTTGACAGCGCAAGAGCGTATCAGCGTATATGATTTTGCGGCGCAAGATTTTCCCGACAGCCCAGTCTTCGGAGAGGATGACGATGTCATTCATACAGGTGTTCCTTTGACAGGTGTCGAGTTGCCACTCGACGCTCTAGTAACATTGCAACACTTGTCGCTCGAGAAGCCCTCAACATGCCCCAGTCTTCCACCAGAGACACCACATGAGATGCGAGAGACCTTCGGGCCTCATTATCGACAAAGTCCGGCGGGTACGCCCGTGTCGCGCATATCTGACTACAGCATCTCCAACATGAGCATACCATCTCCAGGAGGCTTTTTTGCATCTTTGGGATCAAACGCTCGACACACATGGCACATGGGATCCGTACCTGCCAGTGCGTTGTCGCCTTCCTCTGCAACCGCCGAACAATTCTACAAGTGTCCCTGGAACACGAATGCCCCTCCAAGTCCACCCGCAACTGGTCATGTCTTTGAACTCGACGGCAGCATTGGCTCTGATACCGCCACGCCGCCAACTGCAAGACAGGCAACATTTGGCACGCCCGCAAGAAGCGCCTTTGGGTTGATTCATTCGAGTGAGAACCGTGACGAGGATGTTGCATCCCCCGTTGTCGATTATGACGATAATTACGAGAATGTGATCACCGAAGCGGTAGCCAAGTCTATGGACAAGACGACAGATTGGATCGCTCAGCAAGGCAGCTACCTGTCAGCGCTTCGAGAAACCAACCCACGGAATAGTGTAGGCGCTAAAGCAGAGCAAGAACTTCGAAGACGCAGCACCTACCTGCAAAAGGACTCTATGAACTCACCCATGAAGAAGGCCGTTCGTTTTTTGGAGAGTGAAACCTCCAAGCATGAATACGAGGTGCCTGTTGTTGTACCGGAGGAGCCGATCTACTATGAAGCTTTCCGACACATCAAAAGCAGCTCGAAAGCTTCAGATCCATTCATACACCGTCTGACGCGGTCAGATTCAATTCAGTCTGTAAGACTTTGCATGCCGCACGAGCACCTGAAGCGATTAAAGGGTGAATACCGTATGGAGCACGTAGAGCGACCAAACCCCCTTCGGCCAGTCTCGATGTTTCCCGGCAAGGAAACGGAACAAGAACAAGAGACCACGGAGCAGCAGGTCATCAATCGTGTTGAACGAGAACGACAAGCTTTGGACCAGGTGAACGCTAGAGCATGGATCGTTGAAGCTGGCAAATACCTCGCTGGTGGCAGTCTGTTGAACAGCCCAGCTCGTTTCAAGACTATCAAGACTCCCAAGCTAGGAGACATCCAGAACGGCAGAGTCAAGAACCCAGCGAGAATCCTCGACCTCGGCGGTGTACCAAACGGTGACTGGGCATGGCATTGCGCCCAAGAATTTCCCCATGCCAGGATCTATACAGCAACGACCGAACAACACCTGATCGACTCCCGTATTCAAGGTCCACGAAACCATCGACGCACTGCCATCACAGAACTCTGGAAGCTACCCTATCCAGATCATCATTTCCACGTCATCTCAGCGCGCACCCTCCACACCTTCCTAAAGACCCAACCACCGGAGTCTGACTCTGGCGCAGCCAACGACAGCGGCTTAGACGAGTATGACCTCACTCTCCGTGAATGTCTTCGTTGCCTCAAGCCCGGTGGCTACCTCGAATTCTCCCTCATGGACGCCGAGATTATCAAGCCAGGCACACTTGGCTCCGCCACATCGGTTGAATTCGCCTTCAACCTCAAAACCCGTGGCTATGACCCAGCTCCCACCAAGTCCTTCCTACGCCGCATCCGCCAGGCCGGTTTCGACGATATCAAGCGCGCATGGTCAGTTTTGCCGATGGGCTCGCCCACAATTCCACCCCCGCAACTACCAGAGACACCACCTCCGCCAATGATGGGCGCGTTGCCACCAACGCCACCAAGCTCGCACCACGCTGACAGCGATAATGAGAACGGCACTGCCAGTCGAACTTCCACTCTTGCAAACAAGGCCCATCAACTGACTGGCAAATCTATCGAGGCGCCAAAGAGTCAATTCCGCCTCTTCCCGCCCTCCACGTCCCGCACGTCCAAAGCGCCCCCACCCCTCACGATCAACACCTCCCACGCAAATATTCATCACCGACCCCTTCCCACGCCACCGACCTCACGCTCCCTAGCCTCACAGCCCACACCCACTCCCTCCTCGTCCTCCTCCCGCCAATCCGTCGAAGCAGTCCAGGGACCCATCGGCACCACCGCGGACGCAGCCACGCTCTCTGGCTTGGTCGGGTCATGGGCTTGGGAACAGTGGATGCTGAGGCTTGAGACGGAGATGGGTCATGAGGTCGGCCGTAAAGGAGGATTGTTGGATGGAGTGGGTCAAGTGTTGGAGGAGGGGAAACATACGGGTGCTGGATGGAGGTGTTTGACTGGGTGGGGGAGGAAGCCGTTTGAGATGGATGAGGGGCTTGGTGGTGTTGTTGGTGGTGTTGGTGTGGACGGTGCAGGTGCTGGGGGTTGGTTGTAAGATAGATGGATGGGTGGATTGGAGGATGGGGAAGCTACATACGCTCATTCGTTGAGGCATTTTCATATTTTAGACTTGGGAGGTGGATGGTGAGGAACGAGATAGAGACGTGGTAGAGAGGATAGAGGTGCGGGGGGGATGACGGTGGAATGTAAACTGTAAATGTAATGAAAATATCTATATCGGTGTTGATTGAAGTTCCCTCCCGCTCCCCTTGTTATTGATATCATTCGGATCGAATTGCCTACGCAGATTGTGCGCGCTAGGTACCTCACACTCCCCCAAGCCCCCTCCCCCTGCCCATCGCCTATGTCGTTACGCTCCAAATATAAAAACATAACGCAGCGAGGTCCGGGACACAGGTAGTGTATGGAAATATATAGTGGGTAGAGACACAATAAATGGCAGGGGGGGAAGTTGGGGGGAGGGGAGGGGGGGGGGAGCGCACAAGTCTTCGCCCCCCAGACCCCTGCTCTAAAGTGGAGGGAGGGGGTCAGGGTGGGGGGGGCTCTTGGATTGGGTGGTAGTGGGCGGAGAGATAAAGGAGGTTGTAGTGATGATAGTGGAGGGGGGTGCATGCATGAGGAAAGGGAGATGGTTGAGGATGTAGGAACAAAGGGCTGGGGGGGAAGGTTGGAGGAAAGGGCGGGGAAAGACGGGTGGGTGAGAAGGGAGAGAGAGAAGGTGAGTGGTAGGAGGAAGAGGTAGGTAAAGCGAGATAAAAAGGAGAGGGGAGGAAGAAGTTTGAAAAGAAGGGGGAGGAAAGAGGAAGAGGTAATGGCATGTGAGAAGAGGAAAGAAGGGTAAGGGAGGGAATAGAGCAAGTAGAGGAAGTGAATATATGGGGTGGGTGGGGTAGAAAGGATGATGTGGACGAAGGGAATCGGGTCTAACGGGCATAGGCGAGGAGGAGGTCGATGGGTGGTGAATAAGGAAGTGGTATGTCGCGAGGGAACACGGTATCGTCTATTGATCCAACCCCTTTCTGCCAAGATATTCTGTCGCAAAGCGTTGACCGCGCCATTGTGGGTCCTTTCTTATGGTGAGCGTGTGGGTCGTGATCCAGGGATCGCTAATCGCTCAACGCCGTCACCTATGTCTTGAGATCGAGAGCTAGTGTGATAAGCGATTCAGTGCCCGGTTTCTCACAAACTCTTCTCTCTCCCAGAAGAGGTAGTCGGGGAGTAGCCTGTAGTGGCCATAACGATCCTCGAAGAGGCGGATATGAGGGCACCTCCTCATGCGATGCTCTGCTCTTCTTGAGTGGTATGTTATGCACGGACATGATCCATTGAGCTCTCGCTCGGAAACGTACAACTTCCGTGAGGGTCTTTCAACTACGTGGTTCTGTTGTCTGGGGTATACCCTTCTGTCAACTTCTGGTGACGAGAGGCGTTGCACGGGTCTTGGAGGTGCCCTGAGGGCTCTCTGAGCATTTTCATTTGCGGTCTCCCTCTGTGGTCTGTATTGTTGATAGAAAGGTAGCTCATCTCTGGAGGCAAAGGATTCTGATACGCGAAAAATGTCGTTTTTAGCTCTGTCTGAGACGTTCCACCAGACTCTGGTACTCGAGTGGACGATGGCGAAGGTGTCAGGATCGTGGATGCTAAAAGTAGCGAGCTAGTCTGTGTTAGCAAATCGTTTGTCGGTGGGCATGCGGCAGTCTAACCTGAATGCCCTTTATCTTTTCGTCTGTGAGTTTGTTGAGGATTTTCTTCGTCTTTGGAAGCGCTGCAGAGATCCAGTATGAGAAGTATCCCCTATTAGATAGTAGGAAGTAGCTTCCACCAGGGCCTAAGGCTAAGACTTTGGGCAATTCGCCACGAGACAAAGACCGCAGCTTTCCTAGAAGTTCCCGAGATATGTTGTCGGATCTGATGTATTCCCTGTCATCCCAAGCAACGAAGGATTCCTCCGGGCCTAGAACTACAGAAACATGTCCGATGTTCGTCTCGGGCCTCTCAAGCCATCGATAAAGCCTCCTTGGAAGCCCATCATGGGTACACTGGCTTGTTTTGTACCCTCTAGGGTTCAAATGGGTGTATCTGATGAAATACGTCCCCCAGGTGTCTCCAAAGGCAGCGCATTGAACAGCATGCACTTTATGTTGAGACCAATTGTCACCGAAGCTGCGACTAGCATTCCAAGTTTTGGTTCGTATCTCTGGTCCGCTGAAGAGATAGGTGTCGTTGGGCCCGAAAGCGTAGCTAATGTTTTCCATCTCTGCCGAATGGGAAGGGGTGGGGTATCAGATCGATGAAGACTGAGAGGATCGGGGGAGGAGATGAGATCTTTTAAGCTCCGGAAAAGCAACGCTGTGCCATGGCAATTGCTGCTTGCCTCTGTGAGGCCTGAGCATAGCTGATTGCTTCCTTTGTCGGTGTACAAACTTGACCGCGGCTAGGCAGGTATAGTTGCCTTGTTGGGCATCAAAGTGATTGTCTGTGCGCCAGATAAATTGTCGTTTGCTGAGAAGGACGGTGAGACATCAAAGAAGCCTGCGGCTCCGTGAGGGCAACTAGAACAAAGGCATAGCAGGACTATGGTCATGATTGTATGAAGTAAAGTTGAGCATGTCTTATGGCGAACTGTCTTGCAAACTCACGCTCTTCATGATCTGTTCGATCATCAGCCCGTTCCGGCGGTGAAGGAAGCAATGTGCTGGAGTGTGCTCCTCGAAGAGACTGGTGTCAGGCCTCTCTAGGTGCGAATTACATTCTGCCAGAGCCTTCGCACACTGTCATCACCCAGAGAAGAAGCTGGTCCAGTGTGTCGCAGTCTTTTTGACCAACCGTTCGGCGATCAGTATTTGGAATCCTGAGTTGCCGCTATGATTGGCGCAGTATAATGTCGGACTTTGGGCTTTCGTATTTGTCATTTGAAATTTTACTGCTGTTCAGACTTGGGCGAAGGCGAAGCAGGTGAAGCCTTGACGCCGTAAATGCAGCCTCTCAGTAAGAATAGCACATAGTCGACCTGCTTCAAAAGTAAAAACATTCTAACAATCACTCTCGTTGGATTCTTTAAAATCCTCAGTACAACGAGCAGATTCCCGACTGCCGATCACTGTCCAGTAGATGGGCTGCCATCACACTTGAAAAGAGACTTGATCACATCTTTTGCAAAGACGCATTCCACAGAACAGATGACGGCAGCGTCATAGGCAAGGGTATCATGCCTGGCTCAGTGCTATAGCAATAGAATAATCGAGGATCTTTATCTGATTTGATCGGGATCATATCGAAAGGAAAGAGTGCAATCCTCTCGCCAGTCTCAAGAGCCCTGGATTTCGATTGCAGCATTCTCCTACATTAGGCATCAAGACTTGGCCAAAGGCTTCAGGCATGAGAGCGTCGCCACCTTACGAACCTTTCACGATCAATCAGAAGATGACGAGCTGTGCGGGAGTAAAGATTTTCCAAGGAGAGGCGAGCGGACGCGTCCGTAAGGCCAAGCTTCGATGTCCTGCCCGTACAAATGGTTTGTACTTGAACTAGTGATGTTCCTCCCCTTACTCGATACGCTCATTAACTCGAAGGGTTGCGGCTTGTTTTCTCGATGATGATGGAGACTACCTCTTCTAGCAAGGCCTTTAATGGTGTAAGCTGGCTGCTTCCGAAGGATTGAGGCGAAAGAGGGGGTTGAGATAAGGAAACCGACCTACTCCATTACTTGCCTTGCATGAGGCTAGGGAACAAAACAACCAACTATCTCCTCGTGTCCCTGACGTATGCATGTCGATCTACCACTAGGGTCCTCCACAACGGCAATCCGATCATTGAGGAGGCACATTGCGCGTCGAATCCGCCAGGGTCTGGTACCGACCACACCATGAAAGGCAACAGCGACTGACAAGATTTCGTCCCGATGTAAGACTGCCTCACCTTGCCGCTCCTTCGTGTGAGCCCGCGACTCATCATGGCTACAGAAGAACAGCCCTCCAAGGCAATCTTGCCTGTCACCAGCTTCCTCCCATCCACTGCCCTCCCCTCATACAAGCAAGATGCCTTTACGCAGGATGACCAAGCCCTTCTCGCGCTGGGCTACAAGCCCCAATTCAAGCGCGAGTTCTCGCTCTGGACGACTTTCTGCGTCAGCTTCGCTGTCCTCGGCCTCCTCCCCAGCTTCGCCAGCACCCTCGGCTATGGAATGGGCTACGCTGGGACACCGGGCATGGTGTGGGGCTGGCTGATTGCCATGGTCTTCATACAGTGTGTGGCTATGAGTATGGCAGAGCTATGCTCAAGCATGCCTACAAGTGGAGGTCTATACTATGCCAGTGCTGTCCTGGCGCCGGAGGGATGGGGTCCGATGGCTGCGTGTAAGAGCTGAGACTACATTCGCGAGGGAGCCATGTTGATAAAAAATGCAGGGTTGACTGGATGGTCTAATTGGCTGGGTCAAGTCACGGCTGCGCCTGCAGTTGACTATGCTTTGGCTTCAATGATCCTGGCTGCCGCTTCGATTCAGAAGCCCAGCTATGTGCCGCAAAACTATCAGGTGTTTCTGCTCACGACGTTACTCATGGTCAGTCATGGATGCATCAGCAGCATGCCTACGAAATGGGTAGCGCAGTTCAACTCCATCGGATCTACGTTCAATATCATCGCACTCTGCGTTGTGATCATCCTGATACCGGCTGCGACAAATAGGGAAGACCAAGGGTATCTTAGATTCACGCCGGCAAACATCGTCTGGGGTAATTTCTACGATGGGACGGATTTTCCGAACGGCGTGTCACTACTGATGACATTTGTCGCAGTCATATGGACGTTGAGGTGAGCTTAATCTTCTCCCACCTCTAGCTTCGCTGACTCCGTCCAGTGGTTACGATTCTCCCTTCCACCTCAGTGAAGAAAGCTCAAACGCAAACATTGCTGCGCCGAGAGCGATTGTGCTTACAAGTACGATTGGAGGACTATTCGGCTGGTTCCTACAACTGGTGGTAGCATACACCGTCATTGACATCGACGAAGTCCTGGACTCGGATCTAGGTCAGCCATGGGCAACGTACCTGCTACAAGTCTTGCCGCAAAAGACTGCACTAGCTGCGCTTTCGCTTACAATCATTGCTGCTTTCTGGATGGGCCAAGCTTGCATGGTACAAACACTCACTGGAATACATGTTCACCACATGAGCTGATTCTGCACGCGCTAGGTCGCAGCATCCCGCGTCGCCTTTGCCTACGCCCGCGACGGCTGCTTTCCATACTCATGGTGGATAAGCCGCGTAAATAGACATACCCGTACGCCCGTCAATGCTGTGTGGTTCAATGCAGTAATTGGCATCTTGCTCACGCTACTCATCTTCGGTGGTTCGGTAGCCGTCTCCGCTCTCTTTTCCATTGGCGCAGTAGCGGCTTTCGTCGCTTTTACAATCCCGATTTTCATCCGCGTCTTTTTAGTTGGGGACAGATTTCGACCTGGACCTTGGAATCTTGGAAGATTCAGCGCGCCGATTGGTACTGCGGCTTGCGCATTTGTTGCCCTGATGGTCCCAATAATGATGTTGCCGAGCTCCGCGGGGGCGGATTTGGAGTGAGTATTGGTCGCAGGCGTTGATTAGGCGTGATGCTAATATCGGACAGCGCCGCTGGGATGAACTGGACATGTCTGGTATATGGAGCGCCAATGCTTATGGCCATTATATGGTGGTACATTGACGCTCGTAGATGGTTCAAGGGTCCAAAGGTACGTCATGAAGACACAGTATACTTGCTCATCGGCTGATAAACCCAAGATCGACGTTGAGCATCACATGCTTGGCACCGACAGCGACATCATTGAGGACCGAGATACAGATGTAAGAGATAGTGGATCTAGCGTGAATGCTGCTGTGAAGGTAGACTCGAAGCTTCAGTCTTCGATCAATACGTAGTTGACAGGGTTATTTCTCCTCAGGCTGATGTATTTGCGGGCCTCAGGCTGCGATTGAAGGAGCTAATTCCAGCCGCAGCATCAATTTGCTATTGCTTAGTTCGTCTCATTCTTTTCTCTATCTTACAGTACTCTACCTTATCGCCCAACCTCATCTCTATTGCGGTTTTTGGAGACGATCAATCAGGCACTATGATTGATTCGTGTGCAGTAGATGCAGGTCTTGAGGCTTCGAAATGGGTCGATTGCATATCTGAGCGTCTGCTAGCCACCTATCTAGCGTACTGTCTAATCAGTCATGTCCTCACAAGTTTATGAAATCAGCACAGATCCTGGTGTGGAACCATGTGGGAGAAGTTCAAGTCGAGTTGTATCCGCAGAATTGTATTTCACCAGGTCGGTAAGCTTTCCAGTTTCTTCCTCTAATCTTTTCTAGCTTTTCATGCGCCTACCGTGCAATTACATAAAGATCTTCAATCTACATGAAAGCCACCTTGGTGAGACTATCAGAGATGATCTCTCATACCAAAGCATCGACAGTATCATAGGGCAACGCGAAGCACTTTCCTAAATTTGGGGTGATGAAAGCGTTTAAAGCATTATCAAAATCAATGAGAGACCTCTCGAAGTCACCTATAACCTTTTCGAGGCTCTGCAGAGTCTTCGCTAATGGGGACGGCGTCAGCTCTGGATCGGTGCCATCTGTACCAATCAAGCAAACTTCAAGGAGAAATCAGATCAGATTACCTTAATGCCGATGATATACAGAGGTGCTCGCAATGTTCGAATCTGACTTGGACCCGGAAATGCTTCTTCAGACGCCGGTATGCGGGTCTTGTCAACTTAGCAACAGGTGACGACCGTCTGACGACACTGCAAAGTGACCAGACCAAAGGATTTCATATATTCGGCTTTGACTATGACACACAACACCCAGCATTTCGAAATCTGTAACTCGCTGTCCGTTGAGACTGCTTTTGAGAGACGGTACGAATACATAAGGCTGAAATGCAAGGACCATTGGTCGCCACCAGACCTCAGCTCTTACCACCATTTCTGCGAAGAACACTATCTCTATCGCACTATATGCATCAGCTTAGAGGATGTATGAGAGACTGGAGTAGAGGAGTGGATGGGCTTCCATGGTTTCATCAACGAATCTTTCAAATCTTTCAACCAAACTCAGCCTACGATTTCAACGCCTCTCAGAGCCAGGTACATCCTCTCTCAAGGAATGCCAACTCGAACCAACACAATCTTTGAGATCGATCGGATTCTATGTCGAAGTCGCGAAAATCTAGACGTAGCTGGACCTTAGGCGAGAACTTCGCCAAGTACGAATGTGTCGAGTCAGTCACGCACCATATACCAACCTTAGAGGATGGTCAGCGGGCTTCATGATGCCTTGATGGTATGCAATGCGCATACCTGCTTCGTATTGCCTCAACCACGCAACGATACAAAGCTCGCAAGTATTCACTAGCTAGGGAATATGAAGCGAGGGCTATGAGCTGACGTTCATTTCAGCTTCGCTCTTCGCCGAATGGCGTTCTCGACTGATATTATAGCGGGCGGCAGTCTCCCTTCGTCCCCCTTCGCTTGTTATTGGACGTTGAGGGCATCAACACGGCTTTTTCAACGCTAGCTCACCGGCGAGATACGCTAGAATCTAGTGTCGCTCTGTGGCTTATGGAACGGTTCTAGAAGCCTGCTAGCGATGTACTACTCTGCCTCACTCGCGTAAGGGGAGGCCTGCCCTAAGGACTACTTCTGGTTACATACGTCATGAGCGGGCGACGTGCATGAGCCTTATAGCCACGATTAATAATATGGTGAACACTAGGTGCTGCAGAGCGTGGCTTTTGACACCATCACGAAGGACTTAGTCTACTCCGTGCTTCTCACCGACTCCGACCCTTTTTCATGATAGTTGATCCACACTCGATTGCAAATGGCAAACGAGTGGCGCTCAGGGGGCTAGCTGAGTGCGTCGCTTTGGCACTATGCTGGTATTCTAGAACGTCGTGTGGTCGATGAAGTGATATGAAATGCTACATGAGGTTGCAACGGAGGGCCTCGACTTTGATCACTTTGGAATACTTCAGCTTTGATTTGTGAACGTGACATTAATGACCCTGGGTCGGACTTCTGAGTTCGTATTGAATCTCGATTAAGGAGTACAAACTAGACATCATGCAATATAAAAAGGCCCAATCACTCCCCGAAAATATCTACAACACAACCTATCTTGAACAGAGCAAGAGATTCTTTCTCCAGAAGACAAAGATCCAGTAATCAAGCTGATAATATTCATCGACGGCATCATGCCCGTAACTCCTGCTACGCTGAGCTTCAAGCTCATGAATCAATGGGCGGACAAGACAAAACAAGTATACGCATTTATCACGGGATACGACGCGAGCCACAACAACGATCTCTGCCTGTTGACGTCTGATGGAGTGACGGCCTATTATCCACCTCCATCTGCCAGCTACAATCACACTATCATCGCCAGCCCGGATCTTGCTATTCCACTGGGCGGCGTCGGTGTCGCCAAAACAGTAACAATCCCAAAACTCTTCAGTGCCCGCATCTACTTCTCCATCGGCAACAAATTGACTTTCTATCTCAATAAAAAGAGCGACACTGACAACGGAGCCGCTCTTGTCGAGCCCTCAGTCACCAACCCTACGGCCGACCCCAGCACGCCAGGCAACTACAACATCCCCTGGGGGTTCTGCGAGCTCACCTACAACGACACCGAACTCTTCTGCAACATCAGCTACGTGGACTTCATCGGCCTCCCCATTGCTCTTGATTTGACCACCGTCTCCGGCCCCTCCCAGCACGTCAAAGGCATCAAGTCCAACGGACTCGACACCATCGCCAGCGCCCTAAAATCCCAAGCCACCAGCGAGCACCAACCCTGGAACGAACTCGTGATACCCGACAGCAGCGGCAAAACCCTCCGCATCCTCAGCGCCAACGAAGCCCGCGATCTCAAACCAACCCTCAACCTCTTCTCCGGCTACTTCGAGCCCTACGTGCAATCCGTCTTCCAGAGATTCACCCCCTCCTACCCCCTGTGCATCGACACCCAGAACGCCACCTACGGCCTCGTCTCCGGCACCGTCGACCCCGTCTCCGGGAATATGATCTTCAACGTCCCCTCCCTCCCCGGCGGCACCTGGTCTTTCGCCCCGCCTACCACGGCCAATATCTTTAATTGCAGCAACGGGCCCTTCGACCCGCATAATGATGAGAAGGGGAACTTGAGCGCGAGATTGGCGGCCGCGTTTAATCGGACGACGATGCTGGATTCGAATAGTCAACCCGATGGACCGGGCCAGGAGGGGTATTATGCGAAGAATCCGACGAATCATTATTCGAGGGTTTTGCATGAGGCGAATCTGGATGGCCTGGGTTATGCGTTTCCTTATGATGATGTGCAGCCTACTAATGGGAGGTTTTTGGCTGGGAAGGTCGAGGCGGCTGATCCGTTGGAGTTTGTGGTTACGGTTGGTGGGGCGCAGTGGGGTGCGTAAGCGGGGGGAGGGATTGGGTTTGAGGAATGATGGGGTAGAGGTGGTTGATGGTGGATGGGTAGGCTGGCTGGCTGGCTTGGGCGTGAACTGTGACGTTTCCTTCCCTTTCTTGCTTGTCTGATATAGATATATTTTCTTTCTCTAGGCGGTCTGAGATAGATTTCATGGTTCTTGTGCAGATATACATTCATTTACTACCAAAGTCTATACTTATCGACTTCTACATTTTGGCGGCACTGATATCCTGCCATCTCCCTCCCTCCCCTCCCATTCTCCTCCTCCCCCCCTCCTTCCCAACTCACTCCACTCATTCAATAGCCACCATCCCCCTCCCCGGCTCCTTCCTCGCCGGATCCCACATCCGCAGCATACACAACTGCAACACCGTCTCATTATCCGCCCACCCATGACAACTATCGTACGCCAAACTCGGACACCCCTCCATGACCCCTCCCCCCACTAGTTCCCGATCCGCCCATTCCTCCACGCCCGGTTGGCGCGGCCAATTCGCATAAATACACTCCTCGATACACTTACTGTCTGCGCCGAACCCCGGAAGCGGATGTTGAGACCCGCACACGCTCCGGATGCAGTGCTGCACTAGGTGCGCGCAGATGTGCGCGTCGTCCTCCGGCGGGTTGTGCGGGTGGTGGGGTAGGTGCGGCATTGGTGTTAGTGGGCGCAGAGGCCGGGGGCGTGGGCGGGGGGGAGGTCTGCGAGGTTGGTGGGGGGTGTGGGGGTGAAGGCGGTGGTGGAGGTTTTGGAGGCGGTAGTGGTGGTGGAGTTGGTGGAGGGGGAGGTGGAGGGGGATGGCTGGTTTGATAAGAGTTGGAGCAAAAGCTTGGTAGAGCTCAGTGCGGCGGGGTCGTAAATGACGTGGGGGGTAATGGTCCGATGGGGCCGTCAGGTGGATGTGGTACTAAAGTGTGAGGCGGTTGAAAGAGTGGGCCGCCGTTGGGCGGCGTGGAGATGGACGGGTTCGCGGAGGTGGTGGTGGTGGTGGAGGAGAGGGTCGAGGAGGGGTCGATAGTCAACCAGGAGGGGACTGGCATGTGTTCGGCGGCCGGGGGCTGGTCGGGGACGGCGAGGGCGGAGGCGGTGGAGGACAGGAGGAGGAGGGAGTGGAGGAAAAGAAGGGCGCTCGTTGTGAAGCGCATTGTTAAATTTGGTTCGTGAAAGGGGATTAGTGTGTGGAAAAGTTCTTAGAAGAGATTTGCAGATGAGAGATGGTAGGAGTAGGAAGGAGGACAGAATGCAAAAGGCAGAGAATCGTTTATATATGCTTGGAAAAGGCAGATCCACTTTGTGCTTGAGGCTTAAGCCCCTCTTCTTAATTGTGCGGATTGTGAGCTTACCGACTGATTGGAACCAGATAGGCGTAAATGGCGTGTGGGCTTCGAGCAGGTATGTGTGGAGCCTGCTTTCGGTGAAAGTTGTAGAGACTGTCCTAATTGGGAGTGGAAAAGGGAAGACAATAGGCTGCAAATACATTATTCCTTACTGCATTAAGCCAGTCCGAGCACCTCAAGATGTGGAAATGGTTTGTTTTAGGGGAATGTGCGGTTCGCGGTGGTTCAATCTGTCAAATACTCTGTTGAAAATGCCCCATTTTGTATCTTTAGATACAGCACGTGGTCACACGATCATGAGTCGCAGGCCAGTGAACCCGGATTTGAATGGCTTTCGTTATTTGTCTAATTCAAATATTTCTGCTATCATGAGTCTGACCTATGTGCTGCTCCTATGATCATCCTCTCGTCTAGTAAGCCTCTGCCTATGCACGATCACCCGCGTTCTTTGCAAAGTCCTCTAGTATGGGGTCGGCGCCTCCTTCTTTCTCATCAACCTCCTGGTCGTCAGAACGACGTCGCCCTTGCCGAGTAATCTGTGGGGATGGGGACGCCCGGCGCTCTTTCTCACGGTCTTTCGTACCGGCTTGGAAAGCAAATCCAGCTGTGGTATCAGAAATGAAACTGACATCATCATCCTTGCGTCCGGAAGGAAGATTCTTTGGATGCGGCTGATCGCGAGATCGATCAGGATTACGCGAAGAAGTTAACTTGACTCCGCCTTTCTCTTTTCCTGACTTGTCTTTGCGGATGCACCATGAGGGTAGTGGCTCTGGATCGGTGCGATAGACACGCTTTTTCCTGCCGTGGACGACATAGTGATGCTCTTCTACTCTGCCGTCTTCGTGTCGTACTTGTTCGATCCCTTTCACTTCAGCACCGTAGACGATTTGATGCGCGAGGCTGTGAAGATTGTTCCTGAAGTGTCCTCTCAGCATGTTGAATTGAGGAGGATTCTTTGTTTTGGAATTGAAGTAGGATGAAGGATGTAAAATGTAGATACAGGATGCAGGTCAGTATTTAAGCAATCTCAAGTAGCTTCGCGCCCAATGCCTCAGATTGCTGTACTACCCAACAATCTTTTGTGTAGAATGTACGACACAAACAGAGGTATGACAAAAGCGTTGAACTACATCAACGTTGTTTGCTCTTCAAACCTCTTCTGGATACTCCCATTCTCATAGTTGATACTGTGACTGCATTGTCCGCGAGTCCGATCAAAAAACCTATGGCTACACCAGAAGGCGCATCTGGAGTCTATACCTGGTCCCAAATCTTTCCAGACATCAACCTTTAACAAACCATTCTACTTAGTCGCCTTGCATTCAGTCGGACACTTATGACAAGAGTACATAATAGTCTGAGAAATACCCTGGTAGTACCAATTCTTGCGGGAGAATAGTAATTCCATGAGCCAATCATACGCCAATTGACTCACGCCGAAGAAGAGAAGTGAGTTCAGGTGTGGACAAATACGAATTCCCTCATGCCTGACGGTGAACAGCGAAAATAGATTGAGAGGAGCACCAGAATAGCTGTACATCGCTCTGACCATGAGTCTACCCTGTACGACTGCTACCTTCGTTTGAAAGTGCCAGCCGTAGTAATGGTTTTCAACTGAAGAGTAAGTGCGGATAATCTTTGCGAGGTCTTGTTGGTTGACACCCTTCAAACGCGTGTATTTGAGGGCACAATCTACATGATGATGATATCTGAAACCCGCGTCGGATCAAAGGTGAAGACAGTTCCAGATATCTTCGGTAGTGAAATGCAAGATGTTGACTTGCAAAGATCGTTAGCTGAGTATGTAGTGCAATGCATTGCAATAATAACACAGATAATGGTAAGGCAGAATCTGTCACAGTTACAGGACAGCTCTTGCGTTCCGCAAGAGACGTCCTTCTCGTAAGCCTCCAACGATCCGGCACGAAGTTCATTCCACAGAGCTCTGCAGCTTTGAAAGAAAAGTATTTTGTCTGACGGCTCAAGGCAGTCGAATATATCATAAATGAGAGCCAAGGCCAATTCTAGAAGTGCAGATCTCGCGTCGACGGACTGATTAGATCGATTCTGACCCGAGTTTAGTATTGCAGATGAACAAGATGCCATTGAGGTGGTCGCTCTTGGACTGAAGATACTCTGGTGGCGAGTATTTTACGTATCAATGTTGCACCTAATTCGCGTCAAAGGTGCAAAGGTCAATCGAATCAACCGATATATGTTCCATTTGAACATAATGCTAACCTTTGCGAATCGGGAATTCTCACCAGATGATTCAGAATCAAGGCGTAGGTCAACCACAGTGGCTGCCTGAAACAGGATTGGCGGCATATTGTTCCAAGAGTCACTGTCCATCCTTGTGTGAGTGTCCTAGTTCCGATATACATAGACTACAGCATCGTATGAGAGAATCTCTGCTCTCGACGATACTTCTGAGCAGGCCTGACTGAAGTGTAAAGGAGATCCATGACTGAGCTCGCTGAGGTGTATCGATCGCCAAGAGCGCCAAGCTTTCTCGGTACGGATTATGTTTTTTCCATCTCTTGGCGTAGACAGTTCTCAGACCGAGGGTCGGTTTGACGGAACGTGGCCACGCCAAGCCCGTTCCCCGCCAATTTTTGGTGTAAAAACGGCTGGGAAAAAAAGCTGTTTTCCATTGTTTTAAAGCCTCCTAATCCACTACCTTGGTGTAATAGGCTATCTATAAGCAAAGATAATTAAGCGCGCCTATCTATAAGATCTATAAACACTACTATTTAAAAAGCGGCACCTTATAATATAAGATTAGCCCTTATTACCTCTTAGAAATAAATAAAAGATACTTAATATTATATACGTTAAAACACTATAAAGAGAGGGTAAATTGGCTATAAAGATATATAAGAAAATAAAAGTTGTTCCTAAAAGCTAAAAATAAATAATATATACTTTTAATTAGTAATTAAATAATTCTTATATAATAAAGAGAGGGGGAAAATATAAAATTAATTAAAATACTATAGAAAAAATAATTAAATATATTAAAGGTTATTATAATTACTATTTTTATAAGTAGGAGGAGCTATATAAGAATTTTAAACTAAATTATAAATAGTAAATAATAAGAAAGTTTATAAATAAGGCTAAATACTATAAATATAAAGTATATTAAAAATTATAAATTAATATTAATTAAGCTTATTATTATAAGGAATTTATAAAAAATTATATAACTTAGCCTAATTAAAAGATTAAGTAAATTTATTTTAATAATAAATTCTATATATATTATAATTCCTATTATATAGACTTTATTATTTAAATTAAAAAGGAAAAAAACTACTTTAATTATATATAAAAAAGGTATAGAACTAGTGCCTCCTAATTTAATATTTAGAGTATAATTAGTTAGAATTATAAAAAGCTATTTAAATTTTTTAAGTAAATAGAAGAAAAATAATAGATAATATAAGCTAGCTTACTCTATATAAGGACTATAAAGAGAGGAGGGGTAATAACTTAAATTAAATATACTTAAGATATTTTATTAATTATTTATAAATATATTATTAAGGTTAAAAATAATAATATTAATAGTAGTTATTTTATCTTCTAAGAAAATAATAATAGCTTATATAATATATAGTTAGAAGATAATATTGCTTTAAAAACTAAGTATAAAATAGAATTTAATTTTATTAAAAATTAGTCTATAAACTTACTTAATCTTAGTTTAATTAAAGATATTTAATATATTCTTAAGTTAAAAGTTAAGCTATATTATCCTTATAACTAGTGTAAGCTTAGAATAGCTATTAAGGAGGAATAAAAGGCTATTATATTAGATAAGATTAATAAATATATTATAAGCTTAGAATATAGGCTAAATAAAAGAAAAAGTAAAGCTTAGGGCAAGGGTTATTATTAAAAGACTCGTCTTAAGTAGTGCTATAATAGGAATAAGCTTTCTATAGAGTTTTAAAGCTTTAAAATTACTTAATTAGGTCAATATAATTAAAATAGCGATAGGAACATATTGTTTCCCAGCCGTTTTTACACCAAAAATTGGCGGGGAACGGGCTTGGCGTGGCCACGTTCCGTCAAACCGACCCTCGGACTGATTCTTCATTTTTCCTCAACTTCCTTTTTATCAACGATAATCGAGATTGGATTCAATGCTTATGGGCTTTAATGCCCATGACCAGCATAAGACCTATGACTAGATATGCGGGCCTCATCTCGCCGAGAGCTGGAGAGCGCGATATAACCAGCATAGAAAAATTGGCTCCTGGACTTTGGCACGGATCTTAATATCTAGCGACCGGTTCTATGCGCTTTGCTATGGACCCCTGAAATGTCCAACAAATACTCTCTAGATTTGCAGAGATGACGAGCTGGTGCATAATAGTCGCAGCGACGTTGCCCACATCTGTGAAGGATGTCATGACTTCCAGGCAAGCAGTCTCTATTTGGACCATCGATGTACCCTCCATATGAGTAAGGTCAAATGCATGGAAGAAACCATACATTGGTGGGATTTATACAAGATTCACTTCTCAATTTAGGTATCTGCTTTGACCACCGCCTACTCCTTTTGTCGTTGCCATACAGCGATTCTTGGCCATTCCAAAGACAGTTGGACTACGCATTCGAGGCCGTTGCTTGACTCTCAACAAAATAATGATGGACCGACGACGAGACACCGCGGTCTACGACTCATGATATACAGCCCATACTTCAACCCCTAGTGGTACAAAACACCTCAAAGGCTTTTGAGAGGCCACTTTTCCCCAAAGTTGGACTGATCACCGACAGAATGTGATTATTCGCAAAGCACTCACTATCTGAAGCACCTCATTGAAATGTCTCATTTAGGCGATAGATTGGTGAGACAAGGCTGAGACTTTAGACCGCCACTGGGACACGGCAGATCTTCGCACACGGTGACCCGAGAATTTCCACCAAATATCTCCGTGCTGGCTAAGGTCCTATTGGAGCGAAAGAATAGTCCTGAGGGCCTCGCCAAGACGCATTTTCTTTTTCTGGAAAGGATGCCTCTAGTCTCACATCATTTTGACCATCAACGAATCACCGCCGGGGGGGAAGATCTAGTTCCCCCCTTGGAAGAGATAGCTCGTCAATAACGCCTCAAGCCGCTCCATTTTGGGCCTCATATTCTCGCTGCCTTCCGCCATTTTACGCCCAATGCATGTCAAAACATGGCGCTTGGTGTATTTCAAGCCTCTAAAATCTAGCTAAAAGCACCCGAAGCGCTCTTTCTTGCCGATCAATGCGATTCCAAGCTATAGTAACATTGGCAGAGGCCTCAAAAAGGTGTCAAATAATCACAGCCATCTCTGCCCCGAGTCTCAATGTGCTAGCAAGACATCAGCAACACTAAGCTTGCGTGACAACGCCACGTTCTTCAACAAGCCTGGTAATGTGAGATTATCGAGGCCTGGAGCACAAATGTAAAAGAAGGCCTGACCCTGCTCGCACCATTATACTAAACTTTCCCTTCAGCTACCAACCTTTGAGCATCAGTAGCTGAAACCCCCCATATACTCATACCCCAGCTCTTCCAAACCCCAAGTAAGGACAACCAACCATGAAGCTCTTCACCCTCCTACTACCCCCATCCCTCCTCCCCTCCCCTTTCCCTCCCTCCCCTCGCGACCGCCATCCCCGCAACAACTCTCCAGCCCCTCCACCCCTCCAAAATCTTCACCCGCCAATTCGCCTGCTACACCTGGGCCTGCGACCTCCCCAACTACCGGCCCTTCCGGCAAAACCTCGCAAAAGGCGCCTGTCCCAACGTTTGCGGGAAATGCTACCACGCCGGCAGCGGCGGCCACTGGTTCTGCAGCGAGAAAGACGACCCTGAACCGCCGGACGCGCAGGGTGATGGTGGTATGGGCCCGGGACTTTGTGGGAATGCTGCTGGCGCTGGTTCGGGGTT